CCCCAAAACCCCAAAACCCCAAAACCCCATGATTATTAATAATATATAAACTTATCGATAAGTTAAATAAGAAGTATTTGAATGAAGAATTATCTTAAAATATGAGTTAAAAATGAGTAAGTGTGAGGCTGCTTAAATTCATTCGTTAAAGATAACTTGCTAGTATAAATATTTCTCAGTGCTATCGTTAGCTTCAATTACCTTTGAACAGAATTCATCTAAGCACTTTGAAATAGCCTCATATTAAGAAGAGCTGTATTGTTCGGCAGTCTTGACATCATGTCTTGCAGCGATTCCTTTACTTTGCATAAAGAGTTATGGTAGGTTCTTTGGCTTTCTGTCTGTAATAGTCCATCTTTTATCTTCAATTTTGAAGGCTGGCTCTTTCTTTTCCTCTTCTTCAGCTGGTGGCTACTCTGCTTCTTCTTCCTCGCCTTCACCCTTTGGCTTGACAACAACTGGCTCTGGCTCTGGGAATTCTTCGTATTGAATCTCATACTCTTCAATATAGTCCTTTTCAGAGTTGAATTAGAGACCAATAATTGCTTGAACTTCACCAATGTTCTTCTCAATTTGGAAGAGTTCGTCCATATATCTCAATTCAAGTCTATCATCGTCAAAGATGAGCTTGCCTGAATTACAGAATCCTTCGAGCAAAATATATCTTTGTCCTCTTCTAATAGACTTAATGGTATGTTAGATGAGTTCAATCACAAGTTCAAGGTCAAAGTGGACAGCCGAATAGTCGATCTCAAGGAATTCATCCTTGGCTTAGGTTTAAAGTCTGATATCCTTTGGCTTTTTGGTAGCTAATAATCTCTTTCCGAAACTAGTATGACCCTCAATATGCTACTTGATAGTTTGATAAACTGAAATGTAAAGGAACTTGTATTTAATTGCTAGATTTGCACATGTAGTGTCAACAGTTAGTCTCTTTTCATGATTTACTAGGATTACCTTGGGAGCAAACTTTTCAAGAAGTTCTTAAGTTAAAGTCTCAACCGAAACATCAGAGCTTACCATATGGACTTCAGTCTTTCCTTCACCAGCATTATTGCTGAATCTTCCAGCAACAAGGTCAACTCTATCACTATCTGCTGCATATTTATTGTTGAATTCCTCAACTTGTTCTTCAGGAAGATCTCCTTCAATCTCATTCTTCTTTTTGTGTCTCTTAAGGATAGTTTCTTTTTCGCAGTTAACAATGACAATATTTTGAGGTAATTGAGAATTGAAGAATGCCGAATAGATATCATATTCGCTTTAATGAGGAAGTCCGTCGATAACGAAATGATTGTTCTTTCCTTCACCCTTTTGGTTGAGGACATAATCAAAGAGAGCAATTTGAACCTTGCTAGCAGGGGGTTCTTATACCTCACCTTCGTCTCCTGCGTCTCCAGCCATAGATTTCCTTACTTGTTCTTAGAATGTTGCCCATTCAACAACTTTACATCCAAGCTTGCTAGCGAAAATTTAGGCAACAGTTGATTTTCCTGAGAGTGGCTTTCCATATATAAAAGTTAATTGCACATTTTAGTTTTTAATTTCATTGACTATTCTAGTATGAGGTTCACTTAAAATTTTAAGCCTGAATTCTTTTTGGAAAAGAGCATCAATGTTGAACAGAGAAAGATTATTGTTCTTAATTTCAACCTTACTTTCATCCTTTGCAGCATAAATGATAGCAGTGATGCTTGCACAAGACTTTTCAAATTCTTTTGCTTGCTCGATGATATCAGGGAAACTTGATAATAAGAAATGCTTTCTACCATCGCCTGAGTAGATGATTTTTCTCAACATTCTTACAATCATTTCAGCTGGAATAATCTTGCCAGCAGCAACCATATTCAAAAACTCAAGACCAATTTAAGTCTTTCTCTCATTTTCGTCTCTGATGAGGGAGTTAACATCAAGGTTTACAAATTTAAAGTCTTCAAGAAAGATCTCAACGAAATTCTTTCTTAATTCATTATCAGCACTGCTTGATCTAACATGAATAACACATGGTTCAACATATGAGCAAATTTATTTGAACGCATTGTTATAAGTTTATTCTGAGTCAACCTCTTCTAGAATCTCATTATCTCTAAGATATGGTAAGAGATTTGCTGAGGAGTCGTGGAACTTTTTGATTTTTTTAGATAAGATACTTGATGGTAAGTAGTCTGGGTGATCTTTGCCGATTTCAAGCATTCTTTCCTAGCAAGTATCTTTTGAGCATTTAAGATAGAAAACTTAAGTAGGGACGACACAGTTCTTAAAGAAGTATTTTGCTTGTATAATTGATTGAGGGAAGTCCTCAAGTAGAATTCTTGGTGAAGTCTCGTTTACTAAATGCTTTATCAATGCTTGAGTCTTAGTCTCGCAGTCTTTTTGCTTTAGCCCATTATCTTTTACGAATAATGAAAAGTTAAGAAGATTCATATTTGTTCTCTCAGCAAGAGCACCTCCTAAGGCTGTTTTACCTGAACATTTTGGCCCAATGATTGAGAAAATTTGAGGTAGCATTGCCATTCTTGTCTTTTCATAAACCTTATCAATAGATTCTCCAGCATCGATGAATCTAACTTTGCCAAATTTAGAGTATAAATCTACTACTGGTTTAGATAGATCTTAGAAGGTTCTTAGTCTCTTTTTCAATGTTTCCTCGTTGTCATCTTCTCTTTATACAACAGCATTTGTTGCTCTAACTAGACATCTTTGTAGTAGTACTTCTTCAGAAACGTCATAATAGAGAACGTTTTAGCATTCGCACACATTTTGCTCAAAGTAGATAGCCTGATCAACTGCTCTAGGGAAGCCATCGATTAAATAGTTCTAACGATTAGATATTTATAATAAATATATTAGTTACTTTAGAAGGGTTTGCGATGAGACCGTTAATGAGAACTTGAACTGTGAGTTCAAAAGGCACCAATCCACCTTCGTTCATAATTTTTCTGATACGCTCGCCGTCCTTTGTACCCTATACCAGCAAATATTAGTTTCTAAGCCATTTTGGAAATGTCAGTTACCTTATCCTTTTCAGCTCTCATCAAGTCACCAACTGAGATATGAGTATAGCCGAATTCTTCTACTAACTTTGCACACTGGGTACCTTTTCCAGATGCAGGTCCACCTAAACGCATAAAGCTTGAGATAGAATACCTAGGACAAAAGTAATTTTAGGATTTCCAAGAAGTTTTTTAATGTCTCTGTTGCCACCGTAGCTGTTATCTTATCCACTCATTGCTTATATCCTTTTAAATTAACTATATTAATAGTTCGATCTTTCTTATTCGGTATTTTTCAAATTGATTTATTTACTAGTCAAGTCTCATATGGGGTTTTGGGGTTTTGGGGTTTTGGGGTTTTGGGG